TGCTGACCCAGGATGGATATGCTCATACAGTTAGATCACCTACCTGCATACTGACTTAAGATGCTGGGATACCCCAGACAATTATTAAAAGCATGTTCAAGAGAGAGAGTGCTTACCAAGATAACGAAGTAATTGTTTTTGGCTCCTGGCTCACATGGAACACTGACCCTGTATGGACAAGGTCAGTCTTCTCATGCACCCCAAACGGAACCTAGCATCTCACAAGGGACAGATCAGGCATGAAAACAGGGAGCTGAACACAGCTCTGTTAACATCACTAGAAAAAAAATAAAACTTTACTTCCTTTATTAACTCAGGTCATCATAAATAATGACCGCACTCAACTACTATTATGAGATTGAAGCTAAACTTTGTAGATGAGATGGACCTAGTCTCTTAGGGATAGTGTTCCATTCCACAGCTCCCCGCCCCCCCCCCACCAACGGCCATTCCCCGCCCCCCACCACGGCTCTTAGAACAGCTCACTTCACCCTGGAAATATAGGATAAATATATATCTTTTGGGGTATGGAGAGTGGAGAATCCTGAAAACTTCTCTCACTTAGATTGTGACTATCTAACTCAAGTGACTATCATTTTCTCTTCCCCTGGTTTCTTTTCAAAGGCACTTGGTAGAACAAATCAATGACATCTGAACTAACAGTTGCTTAGAGACTGGCAATGGGGTGTTAATGTTTAAATAATAGAAGCAGCAAGCTGCCTCCCTCATTGACAAGCTGCTCACTGACAGGGAACAGCGTTGAAGTCTCAATGGACAGCTGTAAGCCCACAACTTCACAGAGTCTGGAGGGCTCTTGGGTTTGCTAGAGAACCTCTCATCTTCCCCCAAATGTTATTTTCATTATGCTACTGTCATTCTCAAGGGTTCACAAGACCTAGGGTAAGGTCCCAGTGTCTGCACAGTCCCTCCCTAACAGCTGGGCCTCCTTCCTATCCCTGAGAGAACCTGTCCTCTCCAGCTACCAGGCCCCTCGCTGTCCCTGAAACCACCACCATTGTCATTCCTACCAGCCATGTCTTTGCAGGAGCCAGTACCTTCCTCTCTTTCCTCCTCCCTACCTCTTGCAGGTTACCCAGCCTTCAAACTCTATATGCACTTGACCCACTTCATGAAGCACCCATCACTCCATTGTACAAAGCTCCCACATCTCTTGGCACTTCTAGAATCCTGGCATCTGCACCCACCCAGTGTTGGACCATGTGTGGCCTTTGACATGTCTTATGTTAATCTTCTAACTAGGTGACATAGCTGATCTCCTTAACTGGGTTGAAAGCTCTTCCACATCTGGTATGGTGTGACACACATACACAAGCTTCCAATGCGTGTTTCAGGGATAAATTCTGGGGTGTCTACTTTGGGCTCCCTGACTGAAGAGTGTGGGAGCTGATGACCAAGAGAGCATCACTTCACAACAGAAGAGAAAAATTCCTACAAAGTTAACTGAGCATATTTGTGTGAATAATATCCTTCATGTCATACAGGTTATATGTTATATATGTTACATATGTATCTAAAGGTGAAGGTCATTTAAGTGGGAAAAATCTGTCTAACATTAAAAGCAAAAGTCATTTAAAAATTCAAGTAATAAAATAAATAAAAAACCAGAATACAGTCAGTTTTTTTTCAATACCCTATTACAAGATAGTTTTCTAAAACAAACAAACAAATAAACAATCTTTTTACCCAAAATGTGTCACAAAGAATGAACTCTGCAGGAAGCTAACCTTTTGGGGAGCTGTATCCACATGAGGTGAAAACAGGCCTATACTTGCCCCCGGAGCCCTGTGAGCGTCCTGTGGGCCTTTACCTGCTCTGAGAGCAGCACCAGCTGCTCTGGCCATGGTTGTTAAGCACCCCAGGCAAGGCCATCACCAGAGCACATATGCCATGTCTGAAAGCAGGTTGTCCTCTCTGTAGGATGTTCCTACCCCAGTCTCAGGGTTTCTTCTGCATGAGGCAATGAGGAAACAGTGCAGAAATGTGCCTGGCTGAGGATTTGTTTTTGTTTTTCATTCTTACTCCAACTCCAGGCGTAGTCATAGCCAGGCATGACAAGTGGACACAGGTGTGTGGGGACTGCCCCTTTGCGTGGGAGAGGAATCTGGGAGAGAAAAAGGACAGTGGGCAGAGGCACTGGCTAAGCCAGATGTGAGGCTGGTAGGGGACCTTCCTCTTCCCATTGTCACCTGGGCCTCTTCCTTCTCTGTACCTGAATTCTCATATTCCCACCTATGAGCCAGCAGGTGGATGTCCCTTTACCCAGGACTCTGCAGCAGGGAACCTTTCAAGGCACCAAGAGCAATAGATGCCAGGCCCTGACTCAGCCCCTCTTCTGCCTCTCTTGCACCATTCACAGGGGAAGGGAGCATGCAAAGGAATAGAAACAAGTCTGAATAACTAATTTAAAGGAATAAAAGTCTTGCCATCTCTCCCACTTTCCCTTCCAACTCTTAAAGCACCTAGAGACTATACCATTTAGTGTTAAATTCTTTTTTATGTTGGGTCACTTACTGTTTATTCATTAAGTTTCCCCTCCAACAGATCAAGTGTAACTTCCTTGAGGTCAGAGATTGACATAATTTTAGTACCATTTCTCCCCACTACCTCCTGTGTCTAGCACTTTTTAAATTTAATTATGTATATTAATTTTGAATGTATTAAAATAAGCTAGGAATATAACAGCTTGTTCCAAATATGTAATATTTGTTGACCAGAAAATTTCTAAAAGAGACTCTTGGCATGGACAGGCTTCTCTTGAAAGAAGGGAAAACCTAGCCTCACACAAAAATCACTACTAGATTATGAGGACTGAAGAGGTGCCTCAGGCTGTGCCGTAGATTTTATGGGCAGCTCAAGAGAGGGCATTAGAATTGGGTGGAACTCGGAATCCATTGCCCAGAACTGCCTGGCGATAGCCCTTGGAGCCAAAAGGAGGTGAGTCTGTGTGTCTCAGGGGAAATCCAGTTCAGAATTCCCTCAGGTGAGGACTACTCCAGGCTCCTCCATCACAGACATCTGGAGGCTATTCCTCTCAAGGAACAATGGGATGCCCAGACTCTGGGCAGGATGACTGGTGACAGTGAAGCAATAACTCTGGAGTCAGGGTGGGTGTGGGGAGGGTAGCCCCACTTGTCCTTTTTGGTAGAGGTTGCACTCCAGGACACCTCATTGTCTCAGAGGCTGGGACTGACACCCTGCAGGACCTTAGAGGTGCTAGAGAACCTGACAATGTTCTATTTTGGCCAGTTTCATCATAACTAAAACTTTCCCAAACTGGACACCAACAAGAATAAATAAGAATCTTCTCCAAGGGAACACATTACACTTTTCTAATGCTTAACCCATGCCATCACCATTGCATGAGCCCCTCCCTTCCCCAAAAAGCCAGCATGAATGGGGGAGTTTGCTCTTGAAGTTTTCACTTGATTTGGGGTCAGAAGCATCTCTCCCTTCATCCTGCTTGTCTGTCTTACACCTGTTCAAAAACACATTGCAGGGGCTGCAACAGGCAAAGGTGAGCAGCAGCAGCTCATGCCTGTGAAACCCCTTCTCCCAGACTCCCTGCAAACAGTGGCAATAGCAGTTTCTTGCAAATCTCTTATCTCCTTCCCCTTATCTTCCAATAGTTCCTTGAAGAGCACTCTGTGGTTGGGCAGAGGTGGGGGTGCAGGGGTTGGGAGAAGAAGGACACACCACAGACCTTCCCAGAAGTCCACTGTTGCTTGAATTTGGACAAGATTTTAATCCCCTACCCCATCCTTGTCACTCTAAAGAACCTGTGATGTGTATCTGTCACCAGGTGTCACCCAAAGTCTACCTGTCCCTTCACATTTAGTTTAGATAAGGAATGATTCATTGGTGTTGCTCTGCTATTCTGGGGATGTGGTAGGGGTGGTTAGGCTTTAAATTCTGTCATTCTGGGAAGAAAAGGGGAAAGGAAAGGAGGGAAGAAAGTAGGGGTGCTGGGAGCCTGGGAGGCTGGAAGTGTGTGTGGTGCCTGGGAATGGAGCTCTGGGAAGCCACCGGGTGGGTGGAGACGCCCAGCCTACAACTGCAGTTCTGCGCCCCAGGACCCTGATCCCAGTCCTCAGACCCTGCAGCCCCTCGGTTTGGCGCTGAATTCCCCATCTTTCTTCTCTTCTCTCTCCTTCTCAAATTGTTTCCGATTCCAAATTCCTATCTGGATCCTTGGAAGCAATTCAGCTGCTTCCCAGAGGCTCTCTGTTGTCCCCAAATTCCCTTCGAGACGAACCTGTCCCTATGGTCCAGGAGCAGCCTTCCATTCCCTAAAGGGCACCTTAGAGCGCAAATGTCTCCAGACCCGCCACGTGCCCGCCGTACTGGTGGTGTATTTGTATCAGTTCCATTATTGGTAAGCAAGTCGCACTATCAGGCGGCGAAGGGCGTGGGTCCCCGAAGCCAGAGGTGGGGCAGGCGGGGGTGGGGCGCGTGGCATTTAAGGTGCAGTCGCCTCTCGGGCCAGCGACAGCGCTCCGCCACTCCGGCGCGCACTGGTTTACTCCGCCGTCCCCTCCGCGGCCTGATCAGCCACCCTACCCACGCCAGCGGTGGCCTGGACACAGGCCTGCCCCCCAGCTTCATGGGAGAGGTGCGTGCAGCCGGACCCTGGGCGGGTCGGAAGGTTCGGGGATGTTGAGGGCTGCCTGCACCCTGCGCCCTCCGGCCTCTGAGCCGCTTTCTCCCCGCCCCACCCCAAGCCCTCAGTCTGAGCTGAGCCTCCTCAGGAGACGACGACGACGCAGCCCCACATGCGAGGAGGGGCCAGGGTCCCAGGGCAGCCCCTATTCCGAGGGTGGCACGGGCTGGGCTTACACGGATGCGTCTTGGTGCGTAGAGACGCGCCCTGCCTGGAGCTGAGGCTCACGAGCTCAGTGGGCACACCCCAACCCAAGAAACGGGAGAGCAGTGGACACCCTCCACCCCCAAAAATGGGACAGTGAGGGCCCTCTATCCAAGAAATGGGGAACAAGGTCCTAGAGAGACCCCACGGCTCCTTGGAAGAGGTGTTCTTTCTACGTGAGGAAATCACATCCTATCTTTCCCCCCACCCAGGAAGGGTTTCCCCAGCCTGCCCTTCACACAGGAAGAGAGGGAAGGAGAGGGCAGAGTGGGCTAGGAAGCTGCTCTTTGAAGGTGGAGGAACCTCCTCACAGTCTAGCTCCTTCCTTTAGGAGGGCAGTCCCTGACTCTCATCAGAGAACCTATGAGAAAACCCACCAGGGGCTAACACTGCACATCTGCTTCTCTTTCAGAAAACACCACGAATTTACTCTGTAGAGCTCAATGGAGCTAAAGACATGGAGCAAACAGACAAGGGAGATGACAAGAAGTACAGGGGCCTACGGGAGAACTGCTTGGAACTCAGAAAGAATCACCATAAAGAAGAGCTGAGGAAAGAAGTTGATCTGGTCAGTGAATTGGGCCCTTAAACCAAAGGGGCCCACTGAGTGCTGTCCTCCCTGGGAAGCTTACTGGGAACCTGCCCCTATAACCTTCCTTTTCCAAAAGAAAAAGCAGTCCCAAGGGTTTTTGAATTTTCCTGTAAGATTGTTTCCTTGTGTTTTTTGTTTGTTTGTTTGTTTGTTTTTTAAAGGGGAGTAAAAGAAAGGTATGGGCCCAGGGGTCAGGCCTCTGCAGGATTCCTGCATTATGGTTGTAGGCATTCCCAGGTGGGACTCAGGAAAGGACTGAGATTCCAGTCCCCACAGGCTTGTCCCAAACCACTCTCCTTCCAGCTACTTCAGTGAGATGTAAGAAACTATTGGCCAGTATCACCCATGAGAAAGTGAGAAGACTGATGGGCTTGGAGTCAGAAGACCTTACACCACATTAAAGTTCTACCTGTAACTGAGAAAATCTACCTGGCTTCATGGAAGCTCCACTTTCTTTATGGGAAATAAACAGTTTGCATGGGTCTGTGAGGGGGAAAAGTTAGAAAAGAATAAGAGTATTTTGTAATTAAAGTGCTTTATGGAAGTACAATATTACTACAATTGAGGAAGGACTTTGGCCATGGAAAAAGGCTGCCTCAGATGAAATATGACATTTTGTCTCAGAAGTCCCAAAGGGGAAGCTTCTGCACTCAAGTTCATTGCAGACTTTAAAGCCCTATGATTGTCTGAGCAGACGGTAGTGGCATAGGCTCCAGGTGGCTAGAGAGCCAGTGGTTAAATATTCAGGAATTTAACAAGCTGACCAACATCTTGACATTCCATTAATAGCTTAAAATTTGGTTATGGTGGGAAATAATCATATGCTACACATCAGGGCTTCCTGTTTCTCCTGAAGAGCTGGAAAAACTTAGAGCAGCATACTAAGCATTTGTGTGTATATATACTGATAGACATTTAAGAACACAAACATGAGGTTGGACTGACCTGAACTCAAATCTGACTTTGACTGAAGCTTTTTCCTATTTTGAAAAATGGGAATGAAAAAGGATGCCTACCACTTAGACTTGTAAAGACGGTTCAATGAAATACAGCAGGAGGAAGACTTCGAATAGCATCAGACAATAGATAGTCATTCTTATTTCCTATGTGTCTCTAGCATTCAGGATTAAAAGCATATCTAGTCTTCCTTGAAATTGCCACATACAACATGAAAATATATCCATTCTGTCACTTGCTTGTGTATTATTAACATGAGAATCTGCTTTCTTAAGCATTTGTGTAGATGTGTAATACTTAAAAATCATTTCCACAAGATTAGTCAGTGTTCCCCACTTCCCAATAATTCTATAATTTGGACAATGTGCTTGGATGCCCTTGCACTCTGACTTCTCCAGCAAATTAAAACCTTGATGAGAGCCAAAGTAGCCCACCTTCTGAAAAAACCCAAGCCCAGCCTCGGGTGCTGCCCTGTGCTATTCCAATTCTGGCCAGCAGAGGGTGCTCCAGCCACCAGCCCTTTCTTGCCTTTCAGCAGCATCATCATCCCAAAAGCCAAGGACAAGGGGACAGATGCTCAGCCTCCCAGTGGAGCCTCTTGAAGCCCAGATCCATTCATGCAAACAGTGGCTCTATTCATCTGTTCCCTGTTCTTTGTATCTGTCCAGAGCTTAGCACACAGTGCACAGAGCTGTGTCTTGATTCTTTTTTTTTTAAGATTTTATTTATTTATTTTTAGAGAAAAGAGAGGAGAGGGAGAAAGAGAGGGAGAGAAACATCGATGTGTGAGAGAAACATCACTTGGTTGCCTCTTGCACGCCCCCAGCTGGGAACCTGGCCCGCAACCCAGGCATGTGCCCTGACTAGGAATCAAACCAGTGACCTTTCAGTTCACAGGCCAGCACTCATTCCACTGAGCCCCACCAGCCAGGACAATGTGTATTAATCCTTTGAATCCACATGTCAATGTCATCTTCAGTTGATGAAAGAATGAGCAAAGCAGATTCTGGCTGAGGAATGGCAAAAAAATATTTAATCATAAAGTCTAATCTGTTAACATGATGCTTTTGCATATACTTAAAAGAAGAAGTGGGTCTGGTCCCAGTGACAGTATAAATCTTTGTTCTGGATCATCAGAGCATAAAGACTCTGTCCTGGGCCTAAAGGACATGCTGGTAAGTGGAAGTCATTTATAATAGAGTCGTCAGTCCACAATGTCAATGATACTTAGGTTGAGAATCTTTGCTTGAGTCTAATGGTCCTGTGGTAAAATTAGTGAGTATAGGTCATAATGGTATTATATGGCAGGTTTTTAAAGTACAGGGTGTCTGTAATCAGTGACCTACCTGAGTCTCAAGTACTTGAATAAGAGAAGTCATGCATGGGTCCTGAATTTGTCACAACATGTGATATGTGGTTACTTGATATTCCTTATCGACCTCCACTGATGCCACATTCACATATGAGTTGGTACCTTGACACCATGTAGATTCAGAGTCACATGTGCTGGAGCTCAGACTGAGGTGGAATGCTTTGTTCATAAAAACTATGTGGTAAATGACAAATTGAGTCTGGACTCTTCCAAGGTGGCCAGAAAGTTCCCTGAATCAGGACAAGCCTCTTCTGTAGCAGGACCCTCCGTTCCCTCTTTGCAATGATCACTGGGCACCTAGGGCTATGTCTGTTACTCCCATACTTCCTGGCCCTTCTCCCATCATCTATGCCACTCCCAGCTCTTATGGGGCTTGCCAGGGCTTTGGGCTTGAATCTTTGGAATAACCTAATTCACTCTGTTCTTCTCTCCATGAATTTCAGGATGACCACAAGCTCAGCAATAAGGAATTAGAAAATAAATATCATACAAATATCGTTACGGTAAGTCATGAGGGAACTCAGATTGGGAGGAACAGCCTTGTGACTGTAAAGGCAAAGGATGTGTGGGAGAGTGGATGGCACCTTCAGGATGAGTGACTTATAGCACCAATGTTGAGAATGACGTGATGGGTGACCGAGAGCGGCTGGCATCAGGAGATGGTGTTCTGAACCAAGGCCCTGGTCAAGATCCTCAGCTGAGCTGTATGCTGACTATATAGTTCTTCTGACTGACTACAGAAAACTATGGTCTCCCCCAAAAGATCAGATGCTTGCTCATTGTCATGGTCGGAGTTTATTTTAATCCCAGTGTCCAGGAAGTATGATGATCAAAGAATGGGGAAAACCAGTGTTAAAAAGCAGGGTCCAGAGTGACAGTCTTAGACACTGCTTGTCTGCCTCCTCCTCCTCCAAGAAGGAGTGGTGGTCCTAGGCAGCTCCCAACTCTCCCACCACGGAGATACTTCTTCCCTTGTGAAATCAAACTCAACTCAAATTTCAAAAGCTTTGCTTTTGGCTACATCCATTCAAGTCAACCAAAAGACCCACTGAACCAACAGTCAGAGGGGCAAAGAAAAACAGGCAGCCCTGGTCTTATGGAGTAAGCACAGGAAAGTATATTATCTACTCCATTCCACTGAGAGGTCAACTGAGAGGTCTCCAGGACATGCTGAGCAATGGATTCTGACCAGTGGGACATAGGATGATGGCTTAGATTTAAGTTGCCAGAGTATCCAGAGGGGCAGGTAGGACATAACGCGTGGAATGCATGGGGAGGAAGGTGATGTAGAAAATCAGGCAGAGAGAGAGGTAATTTTGGTGGAACTTTCCAGCACTTTCATATTAAACTAAGGAATAAGAACTATATTAATTATATAAGGAGCATAATTTCTAAATAAGGAAACAGTTTGGTAAGATTGGTTTTCTTACCAATTCTGGGAGAAAACAAATATAGAGCAATATGGAGGTACATATATATACCCATTTCATTTCTAAATGGAAAATGGAAGGTCTAGAAGAATACAGGACTGTGAGGTGAGCATGTGAATCAGGGAAGCAGCAGTAAGACAGGAAGGAAGGGGCAGGTTTAGGAGACACTGAGGTTTTGTTGTTGTTATCGTTGTTGTTTTTCATACTTTTTAAAAATTGTTGTTCAAGTACAGTTGTCTCCTTTTTCTCCCCATGACACTGAAGTTTTTTAACAAATACCTAATCCAGCTGAGGAGGAAAAGTGGGCAGGGGGTCAGGTAGTAAGCTGGGCCCTACTGGGGGTCGGAGCAAGAGATTAGAGAAGGCATTGGGGGGGAGGGGTGGTGGTGAGTTTGAGGTTCTGGGGAAGGAATTGCAAAGGGGTGATGATATCTAGCTGGCAACTCCAAATCCAGTTATTCAACAACTGTGTGAGCCTCTGTTGCAGAAAAAGCAGTGGGCCCTGTACAAGACACAGATGAAGAAGGACAGGGTCCTTACCTCCAACTGCTTATAACATAATTAGGGAGAGAAGTTATGTAAAAGACTTTCTCTATAAAATGTAGTTTTGGGGGATAAACCTTGTGGATGATAGTTCAGGATTTCAAGGTGAGGTTCCATGCACCTGTGAATGAAGGGCTTCTGACAAGAAGTGACTGGCCATGTGTGCCTCAGGTTGGTAGGACTTTTAAGTCTTAAGATGAACAAGAACTTAGAACTTAGGGTCAATATCTAGAAAAGCAGAAAAACCACAAGACTTAAAGATGAAAAATCAGCCACATGCCATATCAAAGTTCCAGAAGAGACAGTATTTCTGGATGTTACTACATTACCCTTCACCCTAGTGACTTGCTGATGTGATAGCCAGATTGCTGCTATTTCTGGCTAAATTTTTAAGAAACAACCACATTAGCAGAAAGAATATAGCAGCTCTGGGTCCAGCTCTGGGATGCCTTGTCGCGAATCATGGTGACCTAAACACCATATGCCTCAAATTCCATGTCTGTAAGCTGAGGATAATAGTAGTCCCTTCTTCAGAGGATTATTTTGAAAAACAAAGTGAGTAAATATGTGGAGAACACCACCTGGCTGACATTAAGCATTAAATATTCCTTTTAAGAAGGTAGTAAAAATGAGCCATCATCCACTTTTCCCAGGTCCTCCCTGGGTATGATAACTCCTCCCCAAAACTTGCAGAAGTATGATGTCTAACTCAAGGCAGAAAAAGTGTCTAATTTTGTATAAGTTTTTTTGTTTGTTTGTTTTTTATTGTTTTAATTTTAATTTTTTTCAGTTATAGTTGATATTTAATATTTTATTAGTTTCAGGTATACAGAATAGTGGTTAGACATTTGTATAACTTGCAAAGTGATTCCCCTCCCCCCCACAATAAGTCTAGTACCCACCTGGCACCATACATAGTTGTTACAATACTATCGATTATATTCCCTATGCTGTACTTTACCTGCCCTGACTATTTTGTAACTGACAGTTTGTACTTCTTAATTCTATTGGTTTTTGTTCACCTTTTTCAGGGTCTCTCCAGCACCCAAGCTGCTGAGCTCCTTGCTCGGGATGGGCCCAACACCCTCTCTCCTCCCAAGGAAACACCAGAGATTATCAAGTTTCTGAAGCAGATGGTGGGGGGTTTCTCCATCCTTCTGTGGGTGGGAGCCATCCTGTGCTGGATTGCATATGGGATCCAGTACTCTAACGACAAATCCTCATCTGTAGACAATGTAAGGCACTTGGGTCTCCTGTGTGGTTTTGCTGAATTAGTAGCAGGGAAAAACAGATTCATAAGTGAGGCCTTTCATTAGCAGATCCCTGGGTGGAATCGAGAGGTTCCCACTGACCAATCGCTGCATTGGTTTGAGAAAATCAATTATTTTCCCAGCTGTAAAATAGAAATTATATCTGACTTCCTGATGTCTCAGAAGCAGTATGAACATGAATTTTAAAAAGAGAGAGAGGAAGAGAAACATTGTAAGTTCCTAAGTAAAAAAAAAAAAGAGTATATGCATATGAAGTATTTTGGGGCTCTGTCTCCTGAAATCTAATTATCTTCCTTTAACATGGGGAGCACGTGTGCCTGCTTATGACCGGGCAGCAAACCACAAAACCTCACTGGCCAACATGAAGCTGAGAGAAAAGAGTCAGATGCAAAGGGCCTCATACTGCAATTCCATTGGCATGACATGCCCAAAACAGACACAACTTGGAAACAAAGCAGATCACTGGTTGCTAGGGCTGGAAGCGGGAGTGGGGAAGCTGCCAGTGGGCATAAGAGGTCTTATTGGGATGATGGAAATGGTCTAAAACTGTATTGTGGTGATTGTTGCAACTTCAATAAACAACTATATAAATGTTTTAAAAATCATTGTATTATAGTCTTCTAATGAGTACATTTTGTGGCCTATAAATTACACCAGGACACAATTGCCTGGTGTAATTTATCTCTCTCAGCCTTCCTGTGGAGAGCTCTAGCCCTGGGGTCTGGCTTATCCTGAGGCTGCTCTCTCTGACCAGTGCCTCTCCTCCTGACCCAGGTGTACTTGGGCACCGTGCTCGCTCTGGTCGTCATTTTAACAGGGATCTTTGCTTACTACCAAGAGGCTAAGAGCACCAACATCATAGCCAGCTTCAGTAAAATGAGTCCACAGGTGAGTGGCAGCTGTCTCTCTCCTGCCTTTGTGTGACTTCAGGTGAAGAGAATGGGGCCTTGGAAGCACGGGGTTCCTGCTCAGGCCAAGCTCCATCCTTTGCTCTCTGAGAAGTCTTGGGCAAATGACCTAATCTCTCTGAACCCCCATTTCCTCAGGGATTGAGATGATCAATGAGGTAAGAGACAAGAAAATGCTTAGTCAAGAGTATAGTAGGATGGAAACATTATTTATTGCACATCATCTGTTACTGCTCAGAGGTGTGGTAAGCTAGCTGCTCAGACAAAAGTCATTCAGGTAGTCTGGTAGCCAAGGACATCAACCCATGATTTTTTTTTTAACCTGTGACCATCTTGGCTGCCACTGCTGAGTTTCACTGCATATTGCCCCAGAATGCTCTCAGTGGGGGGAGATGCACTGTTCCTGTGTCCCCAGAAAGACCCTGGTAGTTGTCCTCTAGGGAGACCTGTGCACCACTATCAGCAGTAGGAAAACCACACAGTCCCAGGGCTCCAAAGCTACCAGCTAGACAGGACTCTGGAGATCTTTTGTGCTAATGAATGGGGGATTCACCTCCCCCTCCAGTAAGGTTTTCCTGACCTGAGCAAGATTATTAAACCCTTTGGTCTAACCTTCAGGGTTCTTCCTTGACATCCCAGCCTGGAGTTTTCATCCCTTTCAGTCAGACCCAGGCTGTCCCTTTGCTATATCTGCCCACAGTACATTTTATGGGTCCAAGAATATCACTAGGACCTCCTTCTCAAGAAAAAAAAATAGTTCTTAGGGTCTTCGTGCCCAAGTCAAAGTCTTTTGTTTCATCTTTTGCCATTCTGACTGCCACCTGAGTTTGAATAAGGAGTAGCTGGAAGAGTGTCAGCATCATTGCAAGTCTGAAGTGTCTATCACATTTTCTTTTGCAGCAAGCACTTGTCATTCGAGATTCAGAGAAGAAGATCATTCCTGCAGAGCAGCTGGTGGTGGGGGACATAGTGAAGATTAAAGGAGGGGATCAGATCCCTGCAGACATCAGGCTGCTGTTCGCCCAGGGATGCAAGGCAAGTGTCAGGGCTGAGGATCAGGCTGCTAACTGGCTGGCATTCTGTGGTCCTTCCAGCTCTCAGTGTAACTGTGTCAGGAGACACAGTACTTCATATTGAACCTTTTCACAATTTCATCTAGGTCGACAACTCATCTCTCACTGGGGAGTCTGAGCCCCAGCCCCGCTCCTGTGAGTTCACCCACAACAACCCCCTGGAGACAAAGAACATTGGCTTCTATTCTACCACCTGCCTGGAAGGTAAGTCTGGCTGGCTCTCAGGAGCCCATCAGCCTCTATGTTTGTGTCTCTTTCCATGTTTTATACAAATATTGTCCAAGAGAAAACCTGAAATTGCAGGGCCTAGAGAACTGATGTTGGCCTTTGGAATGTCATGTGCTAGTTGATCATGTAAGCCAACAAAAGAGAGGCAAATGAAGGCTGTGGTCCTTTCCTAGCTGAGGACTTTTGGAATAAAATGTCCATTTCAATTGTAGGCACAGCGACTGGCATGGTCATCAACACGGGTGACCGCACCATCATTGGTCAGATCGCCTCACTGGCTTCAGGAGTCGGGAATGAGAAGACACCCATTGCCACCGAGATCGAGCACTTTGTTCACATCGTAGCAGGAGTGGCCGTCTCCATTGGCGTCCTTTTCTTCATCATTGCAGTGTCCATGAAGTACCATGTTCTGGACTCCATCATTTTCCTCATTGGTATCATTGTGGCCAATGTGCCTGAGGGCCTCCTGGCCACTGTCACTGTGAGTCCATGCTTCTAAGTGGTCTGTCCCCTGATCATGTTAATACATGCCACCCTTCTATGCTGGGGGAGCTCCCACCAAAAACTCTGGGTCTCCTCCAGCTCAGATCAACCCTCCCTCCCTGTCAGGACAACCAGGAAACAATCTGAATTGAATATTTCTTAGAGGGACAGAAGGAATTATGAGGTTGTTCATATTTGAATGCACTGTCCTCGAAAACTTTCTATTTTCATATAGGGTCTCTGTCTGCAAATTGCACATGTAACTTTGCCCCTTAAGATCTAGATAAAGCCCTGGCTGGTGTAGCTCAGTGGATTGAGCACGGGCTATGAACCAAAGGGTCACTGGTTTGATTCCCAGTCAGGGCACATGCCTGGGTTGCAGGCCAGGTCCCAGTGGGGGCCACCTGAGAGGCAACCACACATTGATGTTTCTCTCCCTCTCTTTCTCCCTCCCTTCCCCTCTCTCTAAAAATAAATAAATAAAACCTTAAACAAAGGGAAAAAAAAATCTAGGTTAGACAGACTCAAAACACCAGTCACAGATTTTTGAGCAGTTGGATGCCTTCTTCACATTTCCACAACTTCCTTGGCATTTTCTACAGCTGAGGAACTTAGGCACATTTTTTACCTAATTTCTCTTTCCTCTGACACACACAGATGCACAAATTCCTTCCCTTTTTTCTTCAGAGAAATTTGGCCCTTTCCTACACCTTCCCCCAAATTCAGCTGTGGGTCTCCCTTTGTAAAGCCCAATCAATTTATCCTTAAACAAAGGGAACCATGGTTTCAGGTAATAAGGCAGCTTCAGATCATTGGCCTGCTGTTGTCCTCAGCAAAGGTGGACAGAGGAAGTATCTGGACTACAGGTCTCTTCTGATTCCAGAAGGTAGTAATTTGAAGAAATTGAGCCCAAAGAAACCTTTGAGATCAGGGAGTTTAAAAGAGAGAGCTAAGAACCTTTAAAATCTGGACCTCTTAAAATAAAATATGAACACTGCTTGATTCACCAAAGCAAAAAGTGAACATTTGGGACTAGCTTTTTGGCACAAACTTTATGTATTCACCCTTTTTCCCAACAGAGTGTGGGCAGCCAAAGCTCCCTCTATAATACACATGCATATGGACCATAGCAACCTGGCTTGGCTTTGTTACCTGTGGCTTCCTCAGGATCAGTTTTTTTCAAGGGGTGAAGGGACAAAAGAAGTATCCCATGTTTAATAAGAAGAATTGCGGCATGTAGGGTTTATCAGCCACTGCCTCTATGTTGGTAGCTCTGTCTTGAAAGTAGTCCTGTTCTAGCAATTTTTGTTATTGTACTTACATTCAAATGTGTTTTTCTCTCTCTCTTCTGTCCAGGTGACTCTGTCACTGACAGCAAAACGGATGGCCAAGAAGAACTGCCTGGTGAAGAACCTGGAAGCAGTGGAGACGCTGGGTTCCACTTCCATCATTTGCTCAGACAAGACAGGGACTCTGACTCAGAACAGAATGACCGTGGCCCATCTGTGGTTCGATAATCAGATCTTCGTGGCTGACACCAGTGAAGACCATTCCAGTAAGTTTTCTGGAGCACAGTCTGGCCCAAACCTGTGAACTGGAGCAGAAGGGTATCCCCAAGTGTGGCAGGGTTGGTGTGTAGTCTCAGAATTGTGTGAATAGTTTGGATGTAGAGAGTGGGCCCAGAACCCACAGCATCCCCTGTGCTTTCTTTTTTTCCAGAGCAAACTTTTGATCAAAGCTCTGGAACCTGGGCTTCCTTATCAAAGATAATTGCATTGTGTAACCGAGCTGAGTTCAGACCAGGACAGGAAAGTGTCCCCATCATGAAGGTAAAGCATCTGCATCGCTCGGTCTTAAACCACAGCCAACTTGAAGTCACTTTCCTTGTTCTGACTTGATGCTAGGTTTAAGCTCTCCTACACAGGGAAGCTTGTACTAGTAAGAGTAAGACCTGCTCCCAAGACCTGCAGAAGATTTCCTTCATTCTAACTAGCTTTGCAACATCACAGAGAGGTCTAAAGGTCACAGATTGCTCTCAATCCTTTGAAAATTTTATCTCATTCCAGAAAATGAATGTGCCCTTAGTTACTTTCCTGACTTAATCAGATAAGTAGATATGATCAAAAATTTTTATTGCATAAATACCATCCACTGAATTTTAAAATATAATTGGATGGAAATAAAAGGACTGATCTTAGAACACAGTCTTCTTGGCAGCAGATGCTCTGAGGGATCTTAGAATATTGGAATATGCAATGAACTAGCTCCCTTTTTCCCTTTGCCTCACTTCCTCCCTCTGTTGCCCTCTCTTTCTCTCTCCTTCTACCTCCCAATGAGTCACTGAATCTATGTCCCCCTGGCATTTCTATTTGCTGTTTGTTTTCTTTATTGACTCTTTATTTTTGTGTATTTTTGTTTGTTTTTCTTTCTCTATCTGCTCATCAGTTATCTTCATGGCCAATTACTTTGCTGTCTTTCAAATCCTTATGTCCACTTCTAACTTGTCACCCCAACTGCATGGATCCCCAGCTAGCTGTGTTTCCACTTAGAAGTTTTGACTATTAGACTCTCAACAAATCTTGTCCCAATTTTTCTTTTTTTCTGTGACATCACCATTTTACTTGTCATTGGGGCCAAAACTTTTAGAAGCCATCTTTACTTTCTCCTCACAAAATGCTATCATTCTTGCTTCAAAATATCTATAATTTTACATTTCTATTACCACCAATACCTTGCATCTAAATAACTGTGCCAGCCTCGTACTTGTCCTGTACAACTCTGGCTTATATCTCCCCCAGTCTTTCTTGCATGGCACTAATTTTCCTTAAAAATGACATTAGATGAAAAATGTCACCTAACTTTGCTTAAAAATTTCCTTTGCTTCTCTGTTTACTGCTTCTCAAATTTATACTTCAGCCTGCCTTTCAGGGCCCTCCATGTCCATTTGTCCTTCCAGCACTTATGCCAGAAGTCTTCCATTTCTTGCCTCCATTTGTGACATTCTGACTTCTTCTCCTCTCTTTTCAAGATCTAGTTCCTAACTGCTTTTTTCATGAAACCGATTAGCTGTCAGAGCTCTGAGTTTGAGATTTGCTAATGCCACTAGGTGGCATCACTCAGGATATGAGGATATGTTTATTGATTTTAGAGAGAGAGGAAGGGGGAGCGAGACAGACAGACAGACAGACTTCAGAAATGTGAGAGAAACATCGATCAGTCACCAGGGATAGAACCCACAACGTTTGGTGCATAAGACAACACTCTGACCGACTGAGCCACATGGCCAGGGCTCACTTTAACACTTTTACCATGATCTTAACTCAGTCGCAAATGTGTGACATTGTTTTGTCTCTCCAGCTAGATGGTAAGCTTATTAGTAAGGCAACATGTTGGTTCATAGAAAATAATCTTGAAAGAACCAGATTGTGTGCTGCATAAATATATATTTTTTAATCTCTTTTGATTTTCAGAGAGTTGTGGTTGGAGATGCCTCAGAAACTGCTCTTTTGAAATTCTCAGAGGTGGTTTTGGGTGATGTGATGGACATTAGAAAAAGAAACCACAAAGTAGCAGAAATCCCTTTTAACTCCACCAACAAATTTCAGGTGAGTTGTTCCTCACAAGAAAATCTATGTTATGATTAGAACAGCATTTCTACCTGTAAGTACCCTTAGGTTAGTACGGATTTTGAATGATACTTGATTTCAAAAACAGTCCTCCAAAATGGATGGGCTGGATGTCTGGTAAATTTGGAACAGGTTTTTCCTTGCTGGCCTGAAACAGGTAGACAAAAAGAATCTGGTTGGCCAGGCTGCTCCTGGAACAATCTATGTCTATTATAGGCATACTCATGTACACTCTCACTCACACACACACACAAACACACACACGCACATGCCCCTGTGGGGTGACTAGCACAAGTGAGGGACAACGGCCAGAGCCCAAAGGGCAAATGAAATGTGAGAGTAGGGGGGACAGCTAACTGTGCCCTCAGTTTGTGTCAGGTGATTCACATACATTGTCTCATTGATCCTCACATAAGTGTATGAAATAGGACTAATTAATCCCAATTTATAGGCAAGGAAACAGGCCCCTGAGTGTGTTGATGTCACCAGACTCACACCAGCATCAAAGTGTCACAACCAGTTTTCACACATCTGTTTGGTTCCTGAGAACATGCTCTTTCTACCTCATAACTCAGAAGAAGAACAGCCTTGCTGAGGCCATGTGACAAATCCTTGCTCTTTACCAAGCTGGTAAGGAGTATCTCCAATGGCCAGCCATGTGACTTTCCAGTTCAGCCTCATAGGAATCTTTCTTCTACTCATTTCTCAGGAAGAAAATGGCTGTTCTTGCCTGGATATCTCCTCTTAACTCAGGGTTGGCCAAAAACCAAACACCCATGTCCTCCCATGTTTGGACAAATAGCAGTGTGTATATAGCCCAAGGTCCTGCTGCTGATGGGTTTTCCAGTAGAGTCCAGCACTGACAGCCATTATGACTTTGTCTTTGCATTAACACTAAAGTGTATAAATAGCATAGCCATGTTTGTGTCAAAGTTTCTGGTGATTACACTGTCATTTTGTTTAGATGGAAAAGAAATGGTTGTTGCAAATATCTTTGTGGATAATGCACCAATGAAGAACTGCAGTTAGCCAAATAGACAACCAGCAAAATTGTGCAATGTCAAACATTAAAACCAGGAAAGCAGATCTCTTGTTCAAAACTTAAGTGAAAGTGAATGAGTCACAATCCTAAAATAACAATAGTAATCATAGCCTGTGTGCTGACGTCCACATGTATTAAATCACTTGATTCTCGTCACAGCTCTGTAAGGTAGAGAGTAAGGTCCAGAGCTATATCACATAGCTGGTAAGGGCCAGAGCCAGGACTCACACATGCTTTTCACAGTAGGGAGTCTATGCTCTTTCATAGTAGGTTGGATGGCCTTGCAGTCAGGAACAAGACTCAGAATCCTTCATCTATTCCAGTAAAAACTTCCTTTGTCATATGAAAAATGAGGAAAAGCAGGTCCCATGAGGTCTCATGTATAAAAAATGGAGGGAGAAAATGGGCTACCACAGTTGGGACCAGAAAGAAAAGAGGGCCTGTGTATGTTTCTGCTGATAAGGCCAAAGCACCTCTTTGGATGTTGTTGGTGCCATTTTAACTCTACCCTTGAGCATTGGATGTCATGACCTTGGAAGTTTTCGGTCAACTGAAGGAAACAAAGGAAAGCCTATGTCTTATTGACCTTAAAATAGCAATTCCCCAAACTGAGGCTGATCCATGAAGAGATTTTGAGTAGTTTATGGCAAATTGGATTTTTAGGACAATGTTTTATAAAATTTTATATGAAGATGAATCTGTTCATTTAAATGATTATCCTTTATGTCCTTCATGATCAGGGTGGGTCTCACACCTGCCAGCCTGAATTAAACCTCCTCCACCCCCCCACCCCAGCAGAGACCTGCTACTGTGTGACCTTCATGAGTCATTTAACCTTTCCACACTGAGCTTCCTGCCTTGGAAAAGATGATAAGAGTACATACAGCCTTAGGGCAGTTCTGAGAATTACATGAGTAACTATAAGCATGCAGAACTATATGTGTTTATTATTCCTACTTTTTAAACATTAAAATGCTCTATCTTTGAGAAAATGAGACTGATAGTAGATGGGAGGTTTTCTGTTTGGTTTCCTTTTGGTTTGATTTGGTTGGCTGGTTGCTTTTTAATGTCTTTCATTGGCCATGAATAAAAAAAAGAGCTGGCAAATCTATGTTTGCCCTCTATTTTTTTTAATTGTACTCATGTCTGATATCTGAAAGTCTAAGAACTGATTTAGAATCAACTGACAGACCCAAATGGTAGAATTTTTCTCTTAAACTTATTAATTCTATCTCAAATACTCCAGCTTCCTGAAATTTCTTTTTAAATATATTTTATTGATTATGCTATTATAGTTGTCCCATTTTTTTCCTCCCCTTTATCCCCCTCTACCCAACACCCCCCTGCCCTCCAGCATTAGCTCCCCTTAGTTCATTTCCATGGGTCATATGTATAAGTTTTTGGGCTTCTCCATTTCCTATACTATTCTTAACCTCCACTATCCATTTTGTACCTACCCTTTATGCTTCTTATTCCCCATACCTTTTTCCCCCATTCTCCCCTCTCCCCCTCCCTCCTGATAGCCCTCCACATGATCTCCATTTCTGTGATTCTGTTCCTGTTCTAGTTGTTTGCTTAGTTCTTGCAACAACTAGTTCTTGTTTTTTTTTTAGTTTGTTATTGATAGTTGTGAGTTTGTTGTCATTTCAGCATTCATATTTTTGATCCTTTTTTTCTTAGATAAGTCCCTTTAACATTTCATATAATAAGGGCTTGGTGATGATGGACTCCTTTAACTTGACCTTATTTTGGAAGCACTCTGTCTGCCCTTCCATTCTAAATGATAGCTTTGCTGGATAGAGTAATCTTGGATATTGGTCCTTGCCTTTCATGACTTGGAATACTTCTTCCCAGCCCCTTCTTGCCTGCAAGATTTCTTTTGAGAAATCAGCTGATAGCCTTATGGGAACTCCTTTGTAGGCAACTGTCTCCTTTTCTCTTGATGCTTTTAAGTTTCTCTCCTTATCTTTAATCTTAGGTAATTTAATTATGATATGCCTTGGTGTGTTCATTTTTGGGTCCAACTTCTTTGGGACTCTCTGGGCTTCCTGAACTTCCTGGAAGTCTATTTCCTTCACCAGATTAGGGAAGTTTTCCTTCATTATTTGTTCAAATAAGTTTTCAGTTTCTTGTTCTTCCTATTCTCCTTCTGGCACCCCTATGATTTGAATGGTAGAACATTTAAAGTTGTCCCAGATAGTCCTAAGCCTCTCCTCACATTTCGAATTCTTGTTTCTTCCTTCTGTTCTAAATCGTTGATTTGAGTCCCGGATTCCTTCCCTTCACTATTGGTTCCCTGTATAATTTTCTTTATTTCACTTTGTATAGCTTTCACTTCTTCCTTTATTTTGCACCTGTACTCAATCATTTCTGTGAGCATCCTAATTACAAGTGTTTTGAACTCTGTATCTGATAGGTTGGCTATCTCCTTGTTGCTTAGTTCTTTTTTCTAGAGTTTTGATCTTCTTTGATATTCTTTTATTTGGGCTATTTTTCTTTATCTCAGTGCACCAGTCTGTATGAGTATTTTTTTCTTTAACTCCTTGGTTGTCAAACTTTCATACAGTTTGATTTTTTGGCAGTTCTGGATTAATTTTTGTTTTTAAAAGGTGAAAGATTTATACAATCTGAAGAGAAACCAGAGTATTATTATTTGTTTTTAAATTGTTTGTTGTCCTTCTTTTGGTTGTGCAAGGATGCAAAGTATATCTACCTACACCTCCATCTTCGCCAGAAGTCTCAGCTTTCTGAAATTTCTTCTGAGAGCTTAGAAGAGTACCTGGTATATAATAAGGGATATGTAAGAGTTAGCCATTTACTATCTTCTATACCTTTTTTCACACTTTTCCCAATTATCTTTTTTTTTCTTTTTCTTTGCTTTAGTTCTATTAAAACAGAGCATCTAGTCTAAGTTTTATTTTCACAATATTATGTTTTAAAAAAAATTTTCTCCTAAACTCTTTTTTCTCTCTTTTTTAATTGTTCAAGTACAGTTGTCTCCATTTTCCCCACCACCACTCTTCCCTGCCCCACCCACCCTCACCTCCCATCCTCAATCCTACCCCCATTTGGCTTTGTTCATGGGTCCTTTATACATGATCCTTGACTACCCTTCCCCTTCTTTCTGCCACTATCCCCCTCTTCCCTTCCCTCTTGTTACTGTCCATTTGTTGTTTATATCAATGTCTGGTTATATTTTGCTTGCTTGTTTGTTTTGTTGATTAAGTTCCTCTTATAGGTGAGATCATATGGTATTTGTCTTTCACTGCCTAGCTTACTTCACTTAGCGTAATGCTCTCCAGTTCCATCCATGCTGTCACAAAGGGTAGTAGCTCCATCTTTATTTCTGCTGTGTAGTATTCCATTATGTAAGTGTACCAAGTTTTCTGATCCACTCATTTACTGATGGGCACTTAGGTTGTTTCCATCACTTGGCTATTATAAATTGTGTTACTATGAACATTGGGGTGCATAGCCTCTTTTGAATTGGTGTTTCAGGATTCTTAGGGTATAATCCCAGCAGTGGAATTGCTTGGTCAAAAGGAAGTTCCATTTTGAGTTTTCGGAGGAAATTCCATACTGTTTTCCACAGTGGCTGCACCAGTCTGCATTCCCACCAACAACGTACTAAGCCAATTATCTTATTAGGATGAGTCTAGAAGTAGAATTACTAGGTCAAAGGATATTGGTGTAAGAATTGTAATACCTGTTACCTAACTCTCCTCCTGCAAGCCTCAACATGAGACTTCCCACTTCCTCATACCCCTACCATTTTCTCTTATATCCAGGTAGTAAAAGTGGAACAATGTGGAGATGAAGAGGCTGCTGCTCACAATAGGGAAGTAGAGATAGGAGGTGAGATGAGGTGGCTTACAGTTCCTGACCCCCGTGGGCACCCCTGCAGATCTTATTCAGGGCAGAAGATGTCACAAGCTGACAGCCACATCTGTTCCCCCTCAAGCAACCACTTAGTTTGTACTCAGAGTGCCCTGCTGGGCTGGGACTAGATAGTTGAGTCCAGGTCTCTTGCATATCACTTGGCCAGAAAATGAAAAGGAGAAAACCTGCCTATAGAATTCCTCCCTTACATTTCAAGGATAAGTAGCCCAGCAAGAAAAATGGTTGTTTCATCCCATCATGGTGCTAATTAAAAGATCTGTATAGTTCAGGCCTTCAGTAATGGAGACAGTGTCATGATTCACTAGCATGCAGTACTTATGCTCACTTCCTTCCCTCCCAGCTCTCCATACATGAGACAGACAACACCACTGACAAGCGCTTCCTCATGGTGATGAAAGGGGCTCCTGAGAAGGTCTTAGAGAAGTGCAGCACCATCATGGTCAACGGCCAGGAGCAGCCTCTGGATAAGAGCACAGCTGAGGCCTTCCATACTGCATACATGGAGCTGGGAGGTCTAGGGGAACGCGTGCTGGGTGAGCTCTTAGTGGAAGAAGACTTATATGTTGCCTCTTCAGTACCTTATCATGGCACAAGATGAAACAGGCTGACAATCCAGCAGAGTAGCTAGGGCATCCACAGGACTCACAGGAAGAAGAATGGTAGACAGATAAGCGAATACCACATGATAGCAGCAATGAGGATGGGGTTGTTGCCAGGTCAGAAAAATCTGGGAAGATCCTATGGAAAGAGTTGCATTTAAAGTGGGCCCTAAATGATAATATTTGAAGGAAAGTAAGGGATAGGATTCACGGTGGAGGGAACAACATAGGCCAAGGCCCAGAGGTAGAAGGAAGGAGGGTGTGAACATTGTCGGGGAACCAGTGTGGAGTGTTGCAGGACAGAGGAGATGATGTTATCCTGGGAAGTAGGACTGGAAAGATAGACTGGAGGTCAAGCTATGGAGAACTTATTTGGGCGAGGAACTGGGTTTCATTTTATAGTCAGAGCAGAGCCACTGGAGACTTTGCAGCTAATAAACTGATTAGAGTCAGTGTTTTCTAAAGGATCATACTTGGCAGCATCAGGGAGCAGAGTATCCTGGGTCACCTCGTTCAGGTGACAGAAGACAGGAATTTGATCTAAGGCAGTGGGAACATGAAGGACAGGTCAGATACCAGAGATTTCTCAAAGGCAAAATTAGTAAGACTTATCACCTAATTATAGGAGAAAAGTAAGGTTTAAAAATATTAAACATTTTAAAATTAGTGATTGGGGACAATACTACTAATAACAGAGACAAGGGTCATTAGAGGTAGAAGAAACTGTAGAAATAAAACCACTGTGGCAGGATCCAAATTGTGATCACTTCAGTAATATCACAGAGTATGCCCTAATGTGACAATTATGGGTCAACAGAGTGGCACCTATGAACTACAGGATGGTGAATTCAAGGTAACAAGTTCATAGTCAATGATAAAGCTCATTAGACATCATGAAAGTTCTTGCCAGTAGAGATGGAATCCATGGAATGTGTGTTTCTAAAGGATATTTGAGTTTGTAAAACAAGTAAAATATATAAATGAGATGATAATGCTTTAGGTGTGCCACAAATAGCCCATAGTACCAGGTAGTCTTTTCAGGGCAAGATTAATACTCATCTAACTAGAGGCACTCTAGAGACCTCATGTTTGACCTCTTAGATCCTGTGTTTTACTGAAACATGTAATGTAGTGGGCCATGATAAGAATAAATTTGATGTGAAAGCTAATGAAAAAGCCACATGATCTTGAAAATCCTGCCAGACACAGGAATCCCTTCACCTCAGCCTGTGAGAGCCAGGTGCCATCTGAATAACAAATGATTCTGCTCTACTCCTTGTGGCCTTTCCCTCACACTTAGCTCAATTAAAGACTGAGCTCTATACCATTCCCCTGATACCCCAGATTCATTTCCCCTTTGTGCAGTAGCATGAACTACTTTGTCTGCCTAAATGGTCTTTCCACCCCACCCCCAATCTTCCCTAATGCCTCTCTCAAGAGTCAGCTCACATACTACCTCCTTGGTGAAGATTTTCCTGACTCCCTGTGTGGTTGGAGCATAGCTGTCCTCAGTAATGCTCACCGGGCTCTGTTATGCCTTTCCCTTTATGTCTTTGTCCCCACACTCAACTGGGACATCTTCAGAAGTAAAGGCTATCCCCTCACAGTCTTCATAACCTTAAAACATAACAGAAAACCTAAATGGCATGTGAACTATTTTCAGATGAACCATTTCTTTGCTAAAAACAACATGCATTATGGAACTGAAAGATGAGTTCTGGTAGACTCTATGGGTAACAGAGTAAAGGACTGGGTATGTGTGAAAATGTTCCTCCTTTTTTCATGTCATTTTGTAGCCTAGTTTCACTGACTCCCAAATTCATGCCCATTCCAGGTTTCTGTCATCTCCACCTGCCAGCAGACAAGTTTCCAGAAACCTATTCCTTTGATGTCGACACCATGAATTTCCCCATGTCCAATTTGTGTTTTGTGGGGCTCTTGTCAATGATTGATCCTCCTCGGTCCACTGTCCCAGATGCAGTCACCAAATGCCGGAATGCAGGGATCAAGGTGGGAGTTACCTTCCTGATTTAAGAAGTCCTCCATGGATGTTGCATTCCTTCCTAAGGATGTTTGTCCGAAGAGATAGTCAGTATTTAGGTCTTTTCAAGTAAATACCACAATTCCCTGTTTAAAAATCTCTACTGTCATCATACTAATATTTCAGTAACTGCAATAAAAGCAAAATAATTGTGTCTATGTGGAATGAACCACAATCATAACTATAGTGAGAAGCAAGCTCACTCCCTGTGCCATGAGGTAGCCATATTTTGCCCTAGAGTATATAGACAATAAAAGATTTTATTACTATATCTGGAGGTTCAGCCTCCATAATCCATTTGCCTTCATGATTTCTAAATCAAAATCTTCACTCCATTACTATGTCAATTTCAAGACTGTGGAAGCCATGTGAGCCTGTCCCAGCCCTTTCACAAACACAGCAACATCATAGGGAAAGGGCTTCTTTTAATCAAAGGAGGAAATGCAAGAAGCTTAAGAGCAAGGATTGATCCAGTGGGATCAGTGTGTCCTTAAAAGGCAGTTGTATCTTTGATCTAAAGATCAAGAATTTTCTGTAAGAGCTGACCAGTCATCACAAACCATGTTCTACCAGGTAATGGCAGAGTAGGTAATACTGAACTGCCCTTACTCTGGCTATCCAGTCCCTCATCATCCTCCATGTTTGTTTTCTAGGTCATTATGGTTACAGGTGATCATCCAATTACAGCTAAAGCTATTGCCAAGAGTGTAGGTATCATTTCAGCCAATAGTGAGACTGTGGAAGACATTGCAAAACGCCTCCACATTCCTGTAGAGCAAGTTAACAAACAGTAAGTAACCACAGAACTAATGTGGCAGAAACTCAAGTTCAGTGGGAACTTGTTGGCTCAAAAGAGCTGTACAATTTGGAGTAAATCCCATTTTTGCCAGACACTCTCTCAGGGTGATTCTAGGCTGGTTTCTTCAATAACTCATATCCATTCATTCATTCATCATTTTACTTACCACCTGATATGTACCAGGCACTGTATTCATAATTTAAAAATTATCCTTTATGGATTCCTTGTATAAAATTGCAAAAACCACAAAAGTAGATCTGAAAACTTAAGTGCCTAATTTACATCGAGAAAAACTGAAACAAAGAGTTAATATGAAATGACTTGCCAGTGATCTAGTTGTATAATCGGGAGTATTAAGAACCTTTGGGGCTGTGTACACTTCTTTTTTTTTGGCAGGGGGCAGGGTGAAGTAAATGTAATGGAAGCTTCCTAAGGAAAGATTTGGTTTTCCCTTGTGTTAATTCTTTCCATAATCAATTGTTGAGTGCCAGCTTTGTACCAGGCACCTTGCTAGCCACTGGAACTAGAGTAACAGACTGGACACTGTCCCCACCCTGGGGGAGCTTTCTTTCTTGCTATCTAACAAGAGTGGCAGAAAGTCAAAACTGATTATGTTATGACGAGCACAATAAAGGAGACACAGGGGACAGAGGAGCTGGCAGTACGGAGAGATTTAGCTGGTAATTTAAATGATTAAGAACTCCAGGTCTCACTGTGAAAATAAATGTCATTGGCTTTACTATACTTTCATGCATGTGAGGGAAACAGGGAAAGACCAGTGAACCTCTTGCAGTTTATCCAAGCATTCATGCCTTTTAGGAATACAGAGCTGTCAGGTAATAAATTATCACCAGGCCAAAAAATTACTAATTAAAGCAACCAAACAGAATTACAGCCTGTGGGCACAACAACCATATGTGAAATCTAAGTGTCTTCTCCTTTGTAGAAATAATATTAATCTATGAAACACAGGTTTAGAGCTTTTGTTTGTTTTATTTTTTAAAATAATAGAATTATACATTTTCACACAAGTCACACACTAAACAGGAAAGTGGGGTGGATAGTTTTGTGAATGTTTTCAGTTATCTACTCTATCAATTCTAGCTTCGTGCTCATATAATAAGTGGATTTTTGTGGCTATTGGGGGAAAGGAACCACCCTTTCCTTCTTATCTTACTTTCCTATTTTCTTATCAGTACTTAGAAGACTTGTGATTTGAATCAAATGCTAGAATTCCAATATTTACCACCAGTGGAAAAAACAGACCTAAAAAAGCTCAAAACTTTAAAGATGTAAAGAAAAAGACGCACAGTGCTTTGCTCAGTGTTTAAGCTGAGATTTTAAGATTGAAATGTGGAGTGTTAGTGAAGGGAAGGTGGGGCAGCAAGACCAGTGAAGGCATTTGAACAGTAAAGGGTGTGTGGGCTCAGAACTGAGTGGTCCAATGGGCTGGAGAAGAAAGCCACTGGGGGCATGAGGCTGAATAACAGGGGCTGCACCTGGCCTTGCCAGCTACACCTGGGGTCTGCTCTAAGCACAGTGGAAAGCCTTTAAAGAATTTTATTAGAGGATAACAGAATCAGATGTGAATGATCAGTAGTTTCTAGAACCTTTTTATAGTCATCAGAAAAGTTTTCCTCAAATAAGACCCCCAAAAACATTTTTTCCTACACAGCTCTTTGCGTAGTAGATACTCTATAAATCTGAAATACACAATAACAGGGAATTGTTACCCATGTTTTGGCTGAATTCCAGGACCCAAAATATGTAAACAGGCAGAGTTTTTTTTAATTCTCCATTTACTTGTTAAGTAAAATATAGCCCAGGAAGTACCACTTCTCACCCAATCCTACTAGGAAAAGACTACTTGGTTATTCCTGTTGGAAAAAATGGCTTTCTTTTTTTAGCCTCAGTTTACTGTCTTGAAATGGAGACCAAAGTGTCCCCAGTACTCAAAAACTCTCTCATCCTATTTAAGTATTGAGTGTCAAGGACATTGGGTTCCCAGTGAAGTCAAAAAGGCTTCAGCCCACATCCTGCCCAGAACAGTGTTTCAGCCAAAGATCCAACCTTTGGCCTCACCCAGTTCCTTCTGGCCTTTCTAGGGATGCTAAAGCTGCAGTGGTAACCGGCATGGAGCTGAAGGACATGAGCATGGACCAGCTGGATGAGGTCTTAACCAGCTACTCGGAAATTGTCTTTGCCCGAACATCTCCCCAGCAGAAGCTGATCATTGTGGAGGGCTGTCAGAGGCAGGTGGGTGGACAGCAGTGGTCAGAGGACCTCCCAGTCCCTCACTGTCCTGCGAGGAAGTGCAGGACAGTGATTCCCAGGTCATGGCTTCATGCCTTTTCAACCTCTTGAGACAATTCTTGACCATCCTCATCACCTCACGTTGCTACCTCTTGGGATGACCTTCTGACCTACTTAGAGACCCTCCAACATGGAGCTGCATGCTCTCCAAAGGGCTTTCTGACAGTGAAGCAACTGGTACTATGGTAGGTATGGGATTAGAAAGACTTAAAATGTAAGACAGAAAATGAAAATGTAAGATATAAAATATACAGTTATCCCTTGGTGTCCTCAGAGAATTAGTTCCAGGACCCCCCACCCCTACTCTGCCAATACCAAAACCCATGGATGCTCAAGTCCCTTATATAAAATGGAGCATTATTTGCATATAACCTGTTTACATATATGTAACCTACATTTTCATATAACCTACATTTGAACAGAGGCTACAGCAGGATGTACCCACACATCACTTCATGTTTGTGGCATCAGCATAGTGCTTGACATATGACAGATTTGAGTTTCAGTTTTTGGAACTTCCTGGGGTTTTTTTCCAAAAATTTTTGATCCTCCATTGAATCAGATGGGAAACCTGTGGATACAGAGGGCTAATGGTGTCCCTCTCGCCTGCCACACACATTGGTTTAATTATTTAAACAGGTATTGTTTGAGTTCACAGTGTGAGACTTAGGATTTCCCATCTCTTTATCTTTTCTCCAAAACCCAAACTTAGCCCTTTGTCTCCACTCCAGTTGTCCTCCATCCTCCAAACAAAAGAGAAACAGTATTCTTGTCAGACTTGTGACCCCATTGTCTTGCTCACTCCCATTTTTTTCTGCGTCCCTCTGCATAGGATGCAGTTGTCGCTGTGACTGGGGATGGAGTGAATGACTCTCCAGCTCTAAAGAAGGCAGATATTGGGATTGCCATGGGGATAGCAGGTTCAGATGCTGCCAAAAATACAGCCGACATGGTCTTGCTGGATGACAACTTCGCATCCATAGTTACTGGGGTGGAGGAAGGTGAGTAGTCTTCCTCCAAGTGATCTTCATGAAAACTGTGGTTAACTGGGGGAAAAGCCATCCCTATAAGGAGAAACATCTTTGCCTAGGTCGCCTGATCTTTGACAACCTCAAGAAGACCATAGCGTACACCCTGACCAAGAATATTGCTGAGCTGTGCCCCTTTCTGATCTACATCATCATTGGAATACCCCTGCCCATAGGCACCATCACCATCTTGTTCATTGATTTGGGCACAGATATCGTAAGTAACACTACAGGGAACAGGGTCTGATAAAACCCCCAGGTCATGTGAACTTCAGAGTCATTGCCTCCAAGGATAAAGAGAAAGACTAAATCAATGCTTATCAAACTTTTCAGTGATGGGGCCTGAAGCTCTGCATTTCTAATGATCTTTTCCACGATGCCAATACTACTGGCCCACCACTCTTCAAAGCAAAAGATTAGAGTGACCTGTCAAATGTTTGGAAATTAAAACCACCTCATTTCATTGTAAGAGCTTTTCAAACATGAGTTCTTCACCCTCAAAAAAAAATGCCATTGGTCAGGATCAGCTTTCTTTTCTTTTGAGAAGATGCAGCTGCCACCAAGATAGTCCCTGTGCTACTGGGGGTTCAATGGCTAAAGTGATAACCCATGGCATTCCCTTCTTAAGTAAAGGATCTGTGATCTGGAGGCCCCTTGCCACAACACAATAAGAAGCCATAGTTATAAAGCCTTACATTGACCTACCATACTACCACCTAAACCCTCCTCTCTGCTAGTTCGCATGTGTGTAAAAAATCTTTGTGACATTGTGCATGTGTCTTTGGCTTACACTGGCAAAGGAGGAAAGGCAGCAGGGAGCAGTCTGGATTCACACTGAGGACACAGCCCTGCAAATTGCCACCTTGCCCCTTCCCTGCTTTACACAGCCTTCACATTGCAGGGAGACTGGAGATAGCTATACTTTGGAGGGGAACTGAGATCCCCAGAGATTACAGTCAGATCATGTCCAGGCTCTTTAGATTTGCTCGTTTTTCTTCAGTGCAGTAATTCTTCCAGTATCGTCCAGGAACCACCTGGGAACTTGTTAGAAATGCAGTCTCTGGACCTAGCCAGGACCTTTTGGATCAGAAAGTCTATAGTGGGGTGGGTCTGTTGAGATATCTTTTAATAGGCGTGCCAGAGTGGTGCTCTGGGAGAGAACCACTGTGATCCAAGGGCATGCCAATAGGGGAGGTGTTGGTAGGAGAAATCCACCCCAGAGGGGCAAAGTGACTTATAACTTGCATTGTATAGAATTGTCAGCACATGGTGATGATGGAAAGCAGATTGGTTTTAAAAGCTGACTGTTCTTGCCCTGGCTGGCGTGGCTCAGTGGATTGAGCGCAGGCTGCGAACCAGGCATCGCAGGTTCGACTCCCAGTCAGGGCACATGCCTAGGTTGCAGGCCATGGCCCCCAGCAACTGCACATTGATGTTTCTCTCTCTTTCTCCCTCCCTTCCCCCTCTAAAAATAAATAAAATAAAATAAAATCTAAAAAGGAATAATAATAATAATAATAAAAGCTGACTGTTCTCAAATTCTCTACAGAAAACACCCCCTCCTTGCCTTCATCCTGGATAGATGTGGATAGACCCACCACCACCCTCCACCATCCCTCCCACCCACACCCAAGTCCCAGACTGTACCCCTGCTGTCATCCTGTGGTTGGAGCACAGTGTTTAAGGGTTGGGCTTCTTGGACTCTCCCCTCCAGGTTCCTTCCATCGCCTTGGCTTATGAGAAAGCTGAAAGTGACATTATGAACAGAAAGCCTCGCCACAAGAAGAAAGATCGACTGGTGAACAAGCAGCTTGCCCTATACTCTTATCTCCACATCGGTATGATGAGAACATGTCCTGTCACCAAGGGGACCACCCAGTCACAGTCGGAAGCTGTGTTTTTCTTTATGGGATGGGATTGGGGTGGGAGGAGGAACCACAAGGAGAATGAGGCCAGGGCAGTTCTGAAGTCACTGGGGAATGTATACCTTACTCTCACTCCCTCAGGCCTCATGCAGTCCCTGGGAGCTTTTCTTGTGTACTTCACCGTGTATGCACAGGAGGGCTTCAGACCCAGCATCCTCATTAACCTCCGGGTGGAATGGGAGCAGGATTCTGTGAACAACTTGGAAGATAGCTATGGACAAGAATGGGTAAGGAGGGGGCTCTGCCTTCCCTGCCCTCCTGCTCCTCCCTTCCTGTCACTGCCCTGCCTGAGCAACACAGAGCTAAATTTCCCTGGACAGCCTTAGTGGTACAGAGAAGATGAAAGTTTTCTAAGTTAACAGGACTTCTGAGCCCCTGAGTGGCATTGCTGTGGTCTTTGCCAGGACTTGCCTCATCTCTAGAATGCAAAGCATAAAGGTCATGTTTTTACAGAAGAGTAGCCAGTCCAGCAATTGTCCAAATCAACTTTTCCTGCTTGGTTGGTTAAAAAGACAAATAAAAACCTATACTGATCCTTTCTTAATCTCTCAATTTCAGGGAGGTGGGGAGAGTAGGGCATCACAGAACTGCATTGAAATCTCCCTGAAGTTTCTCCTGGGGAGAAACTTCATGTTTTCTCTCTTCTGTCCTGACAGACACATTACCAGAGGAAGTACCTAGAGTGGACAGGCTATACAGCTTACTTTGTTGGCATTATGGTTCAACAAATAGCAGATCTGATCATCAGGAAAACCCGGAGGAACTCCATCTTCCAACAGGGCCTCTTCAGGTACTACCTGCATCCCACCTCACTTCCCAGATGATGAGGCACCATACCATGCAAGGCATTTATGTCACAGGCACTGGGTGTGTGGTTCTGAGCCATGGGAATTCAGAATATTCATGCTTTAATGTTTCTTGTAGAAATAAAGTCATCTGGGTGGCGATTGCCTCCCAGATCATCATCGCTCTGATCCTCTCCTACGGTCTTGGAAGCATCACAGCCCTGAATTTCACCATGCTCCAGTGAGTTCCTTTGACACTGGGGAGGAAAGGGCTAGCCCTGCTCTGAACTGTCATGGCCTAAAAAAATCATTAGAACCTGAAGGGAGTAAGTGGGGTTCTCCTCCAGTCTTTCAAAAGAGATAAAATCGAGTCAGTACTGTATTAGTCAGAGTCTTTGATCTGCTAGTTTGCCCAAAGAGAAAATGGAATTCACACACCTTGCCATCTCATCTCTACCCTCATCTAACCAGTTATTTCAAAGGCAGATGCTACTTCTACTGGCCACTATCCAGGTTAAATAAGAAACTTTCCAGTTTCACATTGTGTGAACCCATGGATCTGTTGTTCTTTTCACTGAGACTCTGTTCTTTTCATGAGAAAAATGAACTGGGAGGCCTCTGCCCCTTGGTGGGGTCTGGCCCTCCCTTCGATGAGTTCAGGCTCATATCCCTTTTTTGTTTCTAGGCCTCAATACTGGTTTGTGGCTGTGCCCCACGCCATTCTCATCTGGGTGTATGATGAGGTGCGGAAACTTTTCATCAGACTCTACCCTGGAAGTAAGTTGCAGGATTGATCTTTGAGACCCTGCCTATCCACTTGAACAGACTATCCATTTCTAATTTACTTTCTACCTCTGCAGGCTGGTGGGATAAGAACATGTATTATTAGGACCACCCACTTCCTCAGGCCTCCTGCCTACACATGGGGATGTTCCTTTCCATCTCCTGGCTCAGCAGGGACATCATCAGAATGCATATGGGACAAGGCAGAAAACCATAGGAAAGACATGGCCTGATGCTTTATACTTTAAAGCAGAGATTCAACTGTTTATATATGATTTTCATCTCTGTACACACCTCCTTATTTAAAAAGACGTGTATTTCACCCTGACTGGTGTGGCTCAGTGGATTGAGCACTAGCTTCTGAAGGGTTGCCGGTTCGATTCCTAGTCAGGGCACATGCCTGGGTTGTGGGCTGGGTCTCAATGGGGGTGCATGAGAGACAACCACACATTGATGCTTCTCTCCCTCTCTTTCTCCCTGCCTTCCCTTTCTCTAAAAATAAATAAATAAAATATTTTTTAAAAAAATACATGCCTACATACATACATAAAAAGATGTGAATTTCAAGGTAACAGTGTAGGGGAAACTTATGTATTTATATGTATATTAAATTCACTCTCATGAGATAGTCTTGAGTAATCCAGATATCTTCCATGGTCTCCCAGCTCCCTAAGCTCTCATAGGATTGCTTAGACCTCCATTCCACACCCTGTTAAAAGTCTAGTCACCTCCCAAAGATTCCTGTGAATTCCAAAATATCTTATATTTTCAGAGTTATCTTGTCAAAAGAGGCCAGTGCAGTTTTGCTGAAGGTTTGCAAGAGGTGGAAATGATGGTATGTTTACATCACAGCAACATGGATAATCTCAGTTTTGACTTTGAGATGTCCTTCTTAAGGGTCCTTAGCCACTTAGCTGAACTACCTCAACCATCCTTCGGTGCTCTCCCTCCTACCAATGTGACCCCTCTGTCACAGGTGAGCACAAGTAACTAGTTTCTTGGTAATCGGGACGAAGAATTGAACTGAACACCCAGAGTTTATAGCAGAGAACATGGGAGCAGGCCAACTCCAAGCAGAGATTGACTTCATGGGCCAGAGGGACTCTATTCTTATGGGGCAGATCCCTCCTGGCTAGTTTTGGTGGACTTTTACTGTGCGTGTGCAAGTAGTTGTATTACTTTAAAGCTACTGTGCATGTGCTCTTCCATGATTGTCCTTGATTGGCCACTGGAAAAGGAGTCACATAATATTACCAAGTGGGCCCCTCTTCTCCTGGGGTCCCCCATACTAGGTTTGCCTTGCCCACCACCAGGGAATTATAGCTCTCCATGTCAGAGATTGGTGAAAAGGAAAGGAGTTCTTTATTTAAAAGTTATACACACTTAAGAGTAATGACCTAATGTCTCCATTCAAATCCCAGATTCCCTTAAAACACCCACAAACACACACAGTCCTTCCTTGCCCCCTTTGCCTGGTCCAGGGTACTGTATCTCAGGAAAAGAAATATTAGTCTGCGGCTCAGGTTGCCTCTGGTTCTTCCCAGTAATTCATGCTCCACTGGCAGGCCTCCCTCGGTTCCCAGCACCATCAGCTTTGTCGCCGGGATCTCCAGTTCTTAATCCAAGACCACATGGCACCTTCTCATGGCCCACCAGCAAGAGTCCTTTCACCCCTTTCCCTCCTGCAGCATCTCTCCTGCATTCTTCCAAACTGCTAAGAGAGAGCTCTGCATCTCTGCCATGTCTTGCTTTCGAGCTTCCTAAGCTGCATGGCAAAGAGAGACCCAAATCCTCATGGTTCTCCCCTGCTAAAGCTGTACGGTGATTCTCTGCCAAAGCCGAGTAGTTCCTCTCATCAGGGCTGCCTCACCTGGGTTTAAATCCCAGTACCAATCTTCCTCTGCAGCCCCATTTCTGGCTACTCCCACAATTGGCTACCCTTGCCAGCATTCCTGTATTTTTCCAGCTTTTCTGGGCTGCCATAGTAAGTTCAGGCAGGCATGGCCCTGTGATGTGGAGCCAATTATCTCCAAGCTCTTACACAGGCTCTGTAACCAGGGGGAGTTGCCTCCCAGTTACCTCCTGACTGGAAGTCACTCCCTTCTCTCTGGCTCAAAGCAAGGCCACAGCTATTTAACATATAAATGAAACCAATTAAAGGTTTTAGATATGTTAAATGACCATTCTAGAAGCTATCTGCAAAACTGTTGCTCGGCAAAACAACTTTCAATGGCCCTGCTCCATGTGTCCCATTCCTCAGTTCAGACTTGTGGGGGTGAGGACATCCCATATTTTTAATATTTCCTGGACACCCTGAGTTCTGGACCCCATTATAAATCTCTCTTTTGGGCCCCCCCTGGCTACCCTCTCTTATACCTCCCTCCCTCCCATGCTGCCATTGTCCCCTACCACCAACTGCTCCAAAATAAGCTCCAGGTCAATCTTACATAACCTGTTCCAGATGCTCTCCTGAACCAAAGGAATCTTCATTTCACAGGAGTCAGCCTCAGTAGAGAACTGTTGTTTAAAACAGTAATATTTATCTCTTGTAAAACAGTTGCAAAGCACCCTCCAGCACTCATTATATGTCTGTCATGTTTCATGTCTTAACTTAGATTTATTCATGTGAAACTATAGATCCATGCTGACAACCCCAGAGAGTCCTCATTTTTAAGTAAAAGGTGTTTTATAAAAACCAGGTTTCATCGTGGTGTTCCTACTAAATCAAGTTTTTCTGGAATGCAGAGCATGAAAGTGAGATGTGATTTCAATTTCTTTTTGTTTCTTCCAGTCATTTTACTTTTCTATAGAAGGTTGAAAATATAGAATTTTCCTTCCTAACTCTTTCCTCACCAGCATCACTGCCTTGTATGCCACGTCTCTGATGGGCCCACATTTTAAAGTCAGGATTTCTATGGGTAGATATGGCTTTCATCAACAGTACCCTAGGGATGGGAATATTCACAGCCTTCCATCAATGGCACACTCTGCACAAACTGGACACACCCCTTTTCCATTTAGTAGCTACTACCCTATGACCTCTCCTCCATTTATTCACTTAAACTAAGGCATTCTGCTAAAAAGAAAATGGGACCTCATCAAATTTAAAAGCTTCTGTATAGCTAAAGAAAACAGCATTAAAATGAAAAGAGAACAAACTATACAGGAAAACATATTTGCCACTGATACCTCCAACAAGGGTTTGATCTCCAAAATATATAAAGACCTCACACAATTCCACTGCAGGAAGACAAACAACCCAATTAAAAAACGGGCAAAAGGCTTGAACAGACACTTCTCCAAGGAGAACATACAGAGGGCCCACAGACACATGAAAAGATGCTCAGCATCACTAGCCATCAGAGAGATGCAAATTACAGCTACTTCACTGAAGTCAGAATGACCATCATAAACAAATCAACAAATAAGTGTTGGAGAGAATGTGGAGAAAAGGGAACCCTAGTGCACTGTTTTTGGGAATGCAGACTGTGCAGCCACGGTGGAAAACAGTATGGAATTTCCTCAGAAAGCCAAAAATGGAACTGCCTTTTGACCCAGCAATTCTACTGCTGGGATTATATCCTAAGAACCCCAAAACACCAATCCAAAAGAACCTGTGCACCCCAATATTCATAGCAACACAATTTATAATAGCCAAGTGATGGAAGCAATCTAAGTGCCCATTAGTAAATGAGTGGATCGAAAAACTATGGTACATTTACACAATGAAATTCTATGCAGCAGAGAGAAAGAAGGAGCTTATATCCTTTATGACAGCATGGATGGAACTGGAGAGCACTATGCTAAGTGAAATAAACCAGACAGTGAGGGACAAATACCATATGATCTCACCTTTAACTGGAACCTAATCAACAAAATAAACAAGCAAGCAAAATATAACCAGAGACATTGAAATTAAGAACAATCTGACAGTAACTAGAGGGGAGGTGGGAAGGGATAATGGAAAGGGAGGAAGAGTTTTCAGGAACTACTATAAAGGACACATGGACAAAACCAAGGGGGGTGGAAGCAAGGCAGGGAGGAGGGTTTGGCTGGGGTGGGTGGGGGAGTGGTAGGGAGTAAATGCAGACAACTGTAATTGAAAAACAATAAAATAATTAAAAAAATAAAATACACAAGGGCATTCTGCTGCTGGTGCATCAGGAAAGGTGCCACTTAGAGCCATAACTCTCTACCATAGTCTCAGAGTCACATTTAGAAGCATAAAAAAGGTCAGAGAGACAGCATAGTAACTTTATGTAAATAGATTATAGATGTTGAAGTTCTGGCCACGATGGAGGTGTAGGTAGAAACCCTTCACTTTCTTGCACAACCAAAAGGAGGATAACAACCAATCTAAAATCAATAAAAACCAAAATTGCCAGAAAATCAAACTGCGTGGAACTCCAACAACCAAGGAGTTTAAGAAAAAATCTACCAGAGGGGTGAGGCAGACCTCACTGGCTGACTCAGAAAAAACCCTGAGAGACAGCTGAGGGGTGGTACTGACTGCAGAGATCAGCAAAGCTGCTCAGGAGTGACTGACTTAAGGGGAAAACAGACTCAGAGCTGACTATGGGCTAAGGCTGGGGTTGCCACAATGAGATACTTCCAGTCTGACTTAAGAGTCTGTTGGAAAGTGCACTAAAGACCAGCAGGCAAGCCACACTCTTCCCTCTCTGGCCCCTCCCACACAGGCAGCGCTGCAGCACAGCAAGGATTGCCCTGCCTGGGTGACTAAGTAAGGCCCTGCCCCCTTACAACCTATCACCTCTGCCAAGACAAAGAAATATGGCCCAAATGAAAGAACACAGCAAAACCTCAGAAAAAGAACTAAGCGATGAGGAGATTGCCAACCTATCTGATGGAGAATTTAAAGCCCTGGTAATTAAAATACTCACAGAATTGATTGAGCTTGGTTGAAAAATGAAAGAATAAATCAAAGATACCCAAAATGAAATAAAGCAAAATATTCAGGGAACAAACAGCGACAAGAAGGAAACCAGAATTCAAACCAACGATTTGGAACAAAAGGAAGAAATAAACATCCAGTTGGAGCAAAATGAGGAAACAAGAATCCAAAAAAAATGATAGGCTGAGGATTCTCTGGGACAACCTGAAACATTCCAATATC